AGCCATCTCTGAGCTGGGCATAAAAAGTAACTGAGAGTCATGTCTCTAATTTAAACTCACTAGTTAACTTCTATGCTTCGAATCTCTATTATGAAGCTAGTGTGCTGGTTGCGTGGCTGACATACTATGATCTAAGAGCATGAGCATCGGAGCAAGTAAAGGAGAGGGAAATGTTAACAGAATGAAACAGATAATTCTCTCGAAGTATTGAGCTTAGGAGAAAAAAAAAATGGTGACACCAAGGACCACCCAGAGAACTTCAGGATGGGGAAAGCAAATCTGGTTTCCTATCAGAAACAGTATTTCAAATGAAGCTTTTCTATTCTATGAAGAGTAGAAGTGTATTATTTTATTCTTGTTTCTATATAGCTAAAGTATTATCTTCTCCTCAGAGAACTGGAGTGAGATCTTTGTTTTGATAATACTTTGGCTCTAGAAAGGGAATTTACATCATGTAAAATTTTATTAGTGTTTAGGGGGGTTGAAATAAATTTAAACTCATATGCTGCAATTAGTGTTTAAATGGTAATAATTTAAGAAGGTTGAAGGTTTCCAATTTTTTTTTATAGCCATGAAGAGAATGTTTAAACAAGAGAATCCCCAAAGACACAAGATAATTTCCAAAATGTTTTTTTTTTTTCCTTCTAGGATGCACTAGTGTTTCTGAGCAGAGTAATCTAGACCACATGTCTCAGGATTTGGCAGAAATTGTAGATGCTCACATACCATGTTCCTACAGTGAAACAAATGTTCTACTTGAAGTTGTAATTCACATGCCAAGACCATTGAACTAAGTTTAGTTTATCCTTATTTGAATTTGTTTGTCTTTAAATTTGTTTTTTATTTGAACATCACAGAACATTCTTGGCTAAATAGTTTATAATATGAAAATAATATCATCACATCTGTTTTACAGTTTCTAACATCCTGTTTTGAGACTTCAAAAAGTATGTGCTTAAGTGTGTCAAACCCAATCACATTTGAATTTTAAAAAGAAAATCTGAGTTCTTTGAAATTTACAAACAGGAAGCTTATTAAAAACTTACTATGTGCCAAGTGCTATCCTGAACTTGCTGGGATACTAAGCAAGTATTTATAAATCACCTCCAGGGTCTTTAGAGGCTCCTAGGATGTACAGATAACTGAGAGGGGAAAAGGCCACCTCTTTCTCCTCACCCCTTGGCCTCTAACCTAGCAGCTAGGGTTCCTAAGTCTCACTTTTTAGGCTCAGCTCTGCCCTACTCAGTCCTTTTCTAGCCAGGGAGCCTCAGAAGGTCTTGATGTCCTGAGTACTTAGGCACAGAATTCAATAGTCTTGCTACTACATGAACACATCAGCACTGGGACTTTTTTCACTCTAACCTGATTGCTAGCATTTCTAGTGCTGTTTTCTACTCTCTAAGCCATCATTCCTGAAATTAGTTTTTCTGACTTTTTCTCAGGATTTGGGCTTCCTGACCCTTAAACCAACTCTCTCAGGAGCCAAATCTTACACCTATTGTTTGAAGCCGCAGCCCTTTTCATCCTTAAAGTTTTCCTTGGTAAGATTCCACTAACTTTCTGTCTTACTCCTATTAACACAGTCATCTGAGATGTTGATAAGGGCGTATTTAAAGGAATTGATTTTTATTTGTCTTATAGGGCTCATCCTTATACCACAGTTGCTGGGTTTCTGTTCTCGAGACTAAAAGGCTCAGAGGTCACTCCAGTTAAACTGGGCTAACTGGGCTGCACGAAATAACCACACAAGAGACACAAATATCTTTTTCTTTGGGGTCACTGTGACAGCTCCTCTGACCTTAAGGGTCTCCAGAAAGAGAGAGAGCGAGAGCACGCACTGACCCCTTTTATTGAGGAGAAGCTATTCAACTGAGGCAAGGGGTCAGGTTTCAGGGGGCTGAGTCTACCTTCATGATGTCCACTGTCAGCAGGTTGACTGACACCTGGGCAGGCCACACCCAAGGGCACAGTAAGAGAAGGGGACACACGCAAGGCACTTCCATGGAAGATTCTATCCTAAACAAGGCAAGGGGTTAGATTACGGAGGAACAGGTAAGCGTAGCTTCACCCATGGGGCTGTAGCAAGACACACCCATGCACAAGACACTGACCCTGGAACCCAAGAAGAGTGCCACATTTCTGTGACTGAGAGCTTCAGCACCCAGGCGGGGAGTGTAACTCAGTCACGTGTAAGTTGGCCTCCTACACACAGTGAGGTCTCTGCCTCCTGGACTCATGTCTTCATGTATGTTGGTGAGTTTTTCCATTACTGTGACAAAATACTTGAGACAGTCAAGTTATAAAAAAAAAGAAACTTATTGTTTGGACCCAAAATGTCCCCCAAGGATTTATGTGTTGAAGGTTTGGTCCCCAATGCAGCACTGTTAAGAGGTGGGGCTTTTGAGAAGTGATTGGATTATAAGGGCTCTGACTTCATCAGTGAATTAATCCATGGATGTATTAATAATTTGATGACATTAGTGTGGGTGGTGAAACTTTAGGAGGTGGAGTCCAGTTGGAGGAAATAGGTTTACTGGGGACGTGCCCTAGAATGGCATTTCTTGTCCCTGGCCTCATTATCTGGCTCATTATCTTCTTCCTACCTGATATGAAGTAAGCAGCTTTGATCTGCCACACTTTTCTGTCAAGATGTTCTGCCTTAACTCAAACCCAAAGCCGTAGAGCCAGCCAGTTATGGACTGAAACCTCTGAAAACGTGAGCCAAAATAAATCTTTCCTACTTTTAAGTTGTTCCAGCCAGGTATTTTGCTAATAGTGATAAAAAGTTGACCAACATAATTAATTTTGGCTCATGCTTTTGAAGATTTCAGATTTTGAAGATTTTGAAGATTTTGAAGATTTCTATGGTGGGTAGGCCCCATTCCTTCTGGGCCTGTGATGAGGCAGCACATCATGGTGGGAAACATGTGATGATGCAGATGGCTCTCCTCGTGTAGGAAGTAAAAGAGAAAGAGGAAGAGGCTGGGACCCACTGTCCTCTCAAGGACACACTCCCAATGACAAAAAGACCTTCCAACAGGCCCTGCCTTCTCAGGTTTCTACCACCTCCCAATAATGCCGAGTTGGAGACCAAACCTTTAACACATGGGTGTTTGGAGGACATTCCAGATTCATCCATAACATCACAATTCAATTCCATTCAGCAGGATGTGTGATCCTCTTAATGCCAGGTACTGTAATGTAGTAAGGATCGAACAGCACACCACAGATCACCTCTGACTTCAAGGAGCATCAATTCCATAGACAGGCAACATATAGTCAGCCTTACTGCTTCTTTTCCCTCCGGTCCCCTATCTTACATCAGTGAGTCTTTCCAGATCTACTCAGCCTGTATGTTCACATTTGAGCCACCTTGAACTTCTATGGGATTACTGGGAAATAAGCAAAATCTTTAACCACGGATAATGGCACCAACCAATTAGAACTGCATCTAGTCAACAGATGCTGGTTATAAAGAACCCAGACAACAGCTTAATACTTGCCAGGTGACCATCAGCCTTGCTCCTGGTCATCAATAGTTGATTTACTTTGCAAGCCCCTTTCTAATCCGTCTTCCATACTCCAGTCAGAATAATCTTTTAAAATATAAATCAGACCAGGCTACTTCTCTGCTTAAAACATTTCAAAGGTTTTCTTCTCATCCACCGTAGACTAAAACCCCAAACCATGGCAACAAGACTTTGTGTGACAGACCCCTGGTCTCCTCTTCAATTCTCTATCCCTTTTTCATTGTGCTTCAGGTACATAATGAGCCTCTTTCTGCTCCTGGGGCAAGCTATGCTTGTTCTCAGTCTCAACACCTCTGTGCCACTGCATGATTAGCTGCTTCTAATTTTTTGCTACCCATCCTTTCTAGAGCAACCACAACCCCCTCAAATCCTATCACAGTATTAATTACTACCTGAAAACATTGCATTTCTGAACTAATATGATTATAAACTGCACAGGGACATCTTGGCTTTCTGGTTGACTCCAAGCACTTAGAACAAAATTTGTTACTTACAGCAGATTAAACAGTCCTCAAAATTTTTTGTTTTAACTCATATAAATAGACAATTACAATATGGTATAATAAGCACATAATAAAGAGGTGATGAGAAAACAGAGAAGTCCACCTAACTCAGTTTGGGAGAGCTCTACACACTTCAGAGAAAGGTATTTGAGTTAAGTGATGAACATTTATTGTCATGATCACCAATTTTTAAGTGGAATTGATGCACCCAGAAGTGATATTAAGCAGTTTTTATTCATTTTTCTTATGCAGTCATCACAACATTTGTATAAGAAATTACCATTTTAGATTGCAGATGAGAAAACTGAGATTTAAGAGAATGAATGTTGTCAGTACCTCCAAAGCCCAAGCACCACAGCAAAGCAGAGGTGGGGAAGGGTACTTCTAGGGAGAGGAAATAGCATGGGCAGAAGTGTGAGGCCTGAAAGGGCAAAGTGCATTTGAGGAACTGTAAACAATTTCAGAATAACATGTCCCCGATTGTACCACTATGATTAGAATTGCTCAGTTCTTTGAGACTTCCTAGATTCTTAATATTTTTGTTCCCAAATGTGGACCACAGCTACCCAACCTGGATTACAAAAGAATTTTTAGTCTTATATATTTATGTCATCAACATAACATGTTTGAATTGCTTTGTTTTTAATTGTCAATGGACCTTTATTTTATTTATTTGTATGTGGTGCTGAGAATCAAATTCAGTGCCTCACACATGCTAGGCTGAGAATCAAATTCAGTGCCTCACACGTGCTAGGCAAGTTCTCTACCACTGAGCTACAACCCCAGCTCCTGAACTGCTTTTTAATAGCACCCCCACCCTTGGATTCCTATTTATACTAGAGTATTTGGGAAACTTCTAGCATGAAAGGATCCAGAGGAAAGCTCTGATCATGGAAAAGGGCCTTTCCACCCCTTCAACCTTACTCATCTTTACAGATAATTCTATAACAAAACACCTAAGGCTGTGTAACTTATGAAGTAGAGAGGTTTATTTGGTTCACAATTCGGGTGGCTGGAGGGTCCAAACACCATGGTGCTGTCATTCTGAAAAGGATCCCTCTGGATGCATCACAATGTGGTAGAGAAATGGAAAGGGAATGCACTTCATGCAGAAAGGACCAATCATATGGGGTGGCCTTGTTTTATAACAACCTGCTCTCCCAAGAATCAATTTGCTCCATGAGACAAGCATTAATCTTTTCCATGGGTGGTGCCTCATGACCCAACTACCTTGAATAGTCCTCACTGCTTAAAAGATCCACCACCTTAACATTGCAGTGCTGGGGACCAAGCTTCTCACATATGAACCTCTGGTGGACAAACCATATTCCAGCTATGACAATTATTTCTGCCCAAGAAAGTGTAAAGGAATGCTAACTAGGAATTCCTCCTGCTTCTCCAGCTGAGGAAATAAACTGAGCTACATCTCTCTTTTTCATACTTAAAATTTATAAAATGTTTAAGACATGAAAAACATCATAAATGTAAATTATGAAGGATAGCAATAGAGAAATCTCTATAAATTGAATGCTTAATTCATATAAATAAAGTACCAATAGCTTTAATTGCCCTCATGTGCATCTGCCTTCCATACAACTCCATCACCCTAACTCCCAACCCTCACCAAAAAATCACTGCCATGATTTTGTGTCTGTCATTCCCTTTATGGTTTCCCCCATATGTAAGGGTCTCTGATATATGGTTTGGAACTTTAATTTTATATAAACAGTATTGTATTGTTGGTATTCTTCGACAGCATGATTTTTCTAATCATATTTCTAAGATTCATTTATATTGATGCCTATGGCTTTAATTTATTCCTTTTCATTGCTGTATTTCATTCCATTGTATGAATATATCACAGCATATCTATGCCCTGTCGATGGGCATTTGGGTTTTTTCAAGTTTTTTTTGCTACAACAAACAGAAGAGCTGTAAGGCAAAAGGGTATGACTCCCATTCTTGAGGCTTAGCAGTACAAATATGAGATAGGATTCATTAGGGGGAATTTTTTTCCAATTAGAGATTTAGTATACCATGCATATTTCTCTAAGCTTTCATTGTACCACAATGTAGGTTGAGCACAGATGTCTGTACTTGCCATGATCAAAGTTCAAGAAGAAAGGTAATTTCCAACTCCACCGGCTGCATACTTAGGAAAATTACACCATGATGTAACAATGGAAGCTTTGTGAGCCCTTCCCAAAGGAGCTTTGTTAAAAAGGGGAAGCTTCCAGAACTCATCAGCTGGAATCGGCCGACCTAATTCAGATCTGCTGAGCCAGTTCTCTTCCTAGTTAACAAAAGGAGAGGAAAAGCCTTTTGGGCCCATCCAGTTGTCTTCTCAGGACTATGAAGATACTTGTACCATGGGAGACGATGAAGCTGCTGGGTCTACAGTATGTGATTCTTCAAGTTTACGAGATAATGCCAACTTGTTTTCGCAAATTATGTGAAGATCTTGAATTTATTATATTACCTGGAGCTCTTGTTTTAAATTCATACTCCTGGACCCCAAACAGAACTAGTGAATGAGAATCTCTAGGCATAGGACCCACACTCAGATTTAAGAAGCTTTGCAGGGTTTTCTTGTCATTTAGCTGAAATATAGAAAAAATATCTTTTGTATAATAAGCAGAAAAAAAAACCATTACACCTACATAATAATAATTAAGTGTAATTATATTAATAACTTGATTTTCAGTCATAAAAATTATAGTCATTATAGTCATATATACATACATGTCATTATTAAGTATATTTTTCAAGATTAAGGAAAATTTGTTGGGTTGGCTATAACTTTAAAATATTTAGAGTTTATTTATGTGAATTTACACTTGTGCCCTTGTCTGAAGTCTGCAAATGCTAGGGGAGGCTGTGGCAGTGCTTGAGAGCCTGTAGCTGTTGACAAACGTGTTTTCACTATAAGGGAAAAGCCTGATGAAGAATGAAAGCCAATTCAGAGAAAAACAGAGCCAAGATATGAAAGATGATACCAAGATCTAGTGATATCATTAGAGTCTCTGGGTCCTAAAGAGCTATTCATAAACTTTTAGTTCCTTGAATGAACAAATTCCCTGTTTCTCCTGCCTCAGTCTTGAATGAACAAATTCCCTGTTTCTCCTGCCTCAGCCTCCCTAATCACTGGGATTTCATGTGTGAGCCACTAGGTATGGCCAGATAATTCTGTTTGTACCTTTGGAGGAGTTTTAATTCTAGGTAAAAGCTTGGGGCAAATGAGAATATTTTGTTCTATTTACATCTAGAGGAGAAAAAGGACAAAAGGTAAATTAGTTAAAGATATTTAACATACAGTTAATTAAATCTTGCTCTCATGATATGAGATTCAAAAGAGCAAAAGAGTAAATAATGTCTCCTTCATCCTATTTTTCCCCAGACACCTATTTTTTTTTTCCCCTCTCCAGAGGCAAACACTGTTCTAACTTTCTCATGCATCCTTTTGGAAAGTCTATATACATATGAGCATATATAGATATTTATGCATACGCAGATTTACAGGAATTCCTCATTTGGGTAGCTTGCTGGGAGTTATTGGAGGCCCAAGACTGCTGGATTTGGGATAGTTTCTAGCATCTTCTGAGTCTCTGATGAACTTCCATGGTAGACAACAGTTCACAACTTTTGTCACTTTGATGCTGGAGTAGTTACGCATTTGTGTTACTCCATGGGTCTCTTGCAAACTTCATTTTATGTGACTTTCTTCTTTGCTGATTTTCTTTGTATCCTTCTGGTATATTAAATCTTAGCTATAAATACAACTAAGTCCTGTGAGTTCATCTAGTGCATCACTAAATCTGAGAATGATTTGGGGACGCCCAATATAGGTAGATCATGTGTTTCCGTCTGTATTACAGACTATATTCTCATGCCATGGGAACGACATGCTGGTTAAATGTCCTTGTGGGTTAAAAGATGATCAGATTCAGAGAAATCATTTGTATTAAGAGCACTTTATTGGTTTTATCTATCAGTCTTAGCCCTTTACTAACATTATTCTGTAC